AATTATAAAAAATGCATTTTATGATGAACGCAGTAGGCAGTATAAGCACACGTGACGTGCCATTCCCGCATCTGCGCCCGCGCTGGCTCTCACCTCATGTTTGCGGCTGAATACAAATGATTATCATCATAATTAATGGACAACTAACGTTAGGCTATATCAGGGAAAGGCATCAGCGCAGTCCGACGCAGAGAAAAGAAAAAGAAAAAAGCCCAAGATGAAGCCCGTGCATTACTTTCAGGTAGCTAGCTATACGTTCATAATCCTGTAAAACTTTTTTGACTGTTGATGGTAGTAACGTGTTTTAATGTATCTGACTTAATATTATTAATATTCTAGTTTTCTGTATTATATAAAAACAATGAGGCAATAATGATTGGTTAATTAATAATAATCATATGGTTTCATTGAATAACACTGTTAAAATACATAATGTAATGCAAAATAAACAATTAGCATTATTACAAATGCCTGCAAAGGGCACCAAAGGCCCGATAATTACTGTTGTTACACTTACAGGACGATCAAATCCTTGTTTAATATTGACCAAACATTTAATTCAAATATCCACTTAATTTTTGGCCACCTTTTTGCGATAGAAATGCTACAGCCTCTTTAATTTCTTCAACAAAAACATGTGGACATCACAACCCTTACCAAAATTAACCATGGTTTTTATATTACAGCGCAAAACTCCAAAAATGTGAAGCGGCGCTACTCGATCATCCGCCAGTTATGCTGGCTGTGGCTGAAAACAGCCACGATAATAAATTGCATGACGAGGTAAATTGGAAAACGCCAATACATAATTACAAGCTTGCAATTACAAACTTGACGTTATTAACACTGTACAAATAGCCTGTTGTGTTTTGGTAGAAATGTATTTATTATAAATTAAATATTGCGGGATATTTTACTTTTATAGAAGGCCTTTTGTAGTTTCAAAGTTGTTGTTTTTTTGGGTGTTTTCTTTACAAATTCCATAGTTTATTATTACTTATTATAAAAACCATAAACCATGGTAATGAGGTGTCACAAAGCAAGGCCAGACACAACAGATAAGTGCAAAACAGGATGGTTTATTGACTTGGTAAGTGGAAGACTGGAATGGGTGAGTTAAAGGCAGGTGAATGTCAACACAGTGAATGGTTCCAGGGTGCTTATCTGAGTTCTGATGGAGAGGATCGTATGCTGGTTACGTTGGAGATCGTGGAGCCGTTTCCACGGAGTCGTTGGAGGATCGTGGGAGGAACAGCAGGTAATTCGTTCTAGGAGATTTTGGCAGAGAGAGTCCAGAGTAGTTCGTAGGAGTGAACGGTAGACCGGACAGTGAGTGGCTGTGCTGTGTGTGTATTTGTAGTGTGGCTTGATTGGTGACAGCAGGTGCGGGTGATCAGAACTCAGGTGACTGTGATCGGGTAATTATCCTGGATGGTGACTGAAGTGACTGTGATGACTCCCTGACATGAGGACCATGGTTTTACTTGTTTTGACCTTCTTTACTAATACTAGTCAGTTAAACTCTGTATTCGATGCAAGAACTAGTAAATTTCATTAAGGCAAAGGATAATTTAACAGAACAGCTTTAATAGCTTTAAATGTTTTGTTCTGATTAATGTTAATTGAAGTAAAATGTTAATTCAATAAGAGAATGGTTAAAGATAAATAACAGTGTCTTATATAAATTAGGTGTTAAAGGTGCAGTAGGAGATCTTGGAAAATGCTAACTTTAGCCTGATAGCACTAAAAGCGAACATCCCACCCTCCCTGCAATCGCAGTCCAAAGCCACGCCCCCTGAACGCATTTACGCTCACAGACCAGAGACAACATTACTA